AAAGACCTTGTTAATGTCAACAGAGTACTTAATAAGGTCAAATGTGTGACAGTGTCAATAAAAATTTAAAAGCACAATTTGTCACAGCTAATGGAAATATAGATAATCTGTCTTATAATGCCCTAGAGTTGACAATTATTGTACACCATAGCTCTGTAAATTGTGATAAAAAGATAGACAAATGTTTGTAGTTTCTGAAATGTGTTAGCTAAAATAAATGATTGTGGGGATGGAGAGATGGCTTAAGAACACTGGTTGCTCTTGCAGAGGACCTGGGTTCGAGTCCCAGCACCCACATGGCAGCTAACAACTCTCTGTAATTCCAGTCCCAGAGGATCCGACAACCTCTTCTGACCTCTGCGGGCATTGCATGACATGGGTGCACTTACCTACATGCAGACAATACACACATACAAATAAAATAAAAATAGTAAATGAAAAAAAAATTAAAGAGCTTCTTTATTTTCCCAGGAATTTCTTGATGCTATTCATATGTATTCCATTCCTTCACTTAACACATTTTCTTGTGCAGTCACCCAATAACATGTGTATATATGTTGTGCATGTGATATTTAAATGCATATGAATACAACATTTCTATTGTATAAATTTCCTTATGACGAATTAATTTCATAAAAATAGAATCTGCTCTATCTGCTATGTTTACTTTTTTAACATAAGAATTATACTCCTACTCTTGCATATTTGTGTTCACTGTATACTGTCTTCCTGTAATTTAAAAAAATTGTAAAAACTTTTTATTTATTTAATGAGTGGTATATCTATATATATGTAAGTATACCTCTGTTGTGCAATGCCTGCAAAGGTCACAAGAGGGTGTTGGATCCTCTGGACCTGGAGTTATAGACAATTGTTAGCCACCAAGTGGGTGCTGGAATTAGAACCTGGGTCTTCTGCAAGAATAGCCAGGGCTCTTGACTGCAGAGCCATCGCTCCAGCCCACTTTCTGTGATTTTTAATTCTTTGTCACTGAAATATATTAAAAACTGAAATGAATATAGGATACCATTTATAAAGTTAAAACAATTATAAGAAATTAAAAATAAAAGAATCCAAATAATGAATTTGTGATACTTAATTCAAGTACATTCATATTCTTTCAGGTATGATGGTAAATTATATTCATCGACTAGACTTGCATGCTAAAATGCATAGAAAGAATTCAACACAGTAATAAAATTTCATAAAACCTTGAGTTCTAGTCTCATATTTTTGGGTTATTAGATATGTAACCTTGAAGAGATCACCTAATCTTTCTGGGTTTTGTTTCTTTACACATATATAAACATACTGGACTGGACTATTTTAGGTTCTTTAATTCCTATTCCTGGTGATGGATTTTTTTTTTTTTGTAATAGATTTTGGGTTCTGGAGAGATGTCTCTGCAGTTAAGAACACTGGCTGCTCTTGCAGAGGATCCAGTTTCGATTCCCACACTTATATGGCAGCTAAAAACCCTCCTTATCTGCAGTTCCAGGGGATCCAGTGCCCTCTTTTGACTTCTCTGGGCATTGCATGACATGTGTGCACTTACATGCATTCAGGCAATACACTTATACACATAAAAATAACAAATAAAATAAATTGATTTGTCATTGTAAGAGAACAATGGAGTTCACATTCTTTAAGAAATAGGTAGGTATTTGGAAATTGAACATATGAGTTTTGAAATGATTTGTAGTTCAGCTTTAAAAGGGACAGAACCCTTTTCTCATCAATGTCTCTAATACAGTGCTGTTCAGTGAAACTTCATGCACTGTTCTTATCCTTGTCCAAAATGGTAGCTATATGTCACATGTACTTTTCAACAAGTCAAACTCTAGGTTATGAAACTGAGCTTAGAAGTTTATTGCAGTTAAAGTTAATATGTCATTAGCAGATCTCATATTGAATAGTACAGTGCAGTTGTGTTCAGGTGTTGAAACTTTTCATACGTGTTTGCATCTATTTGAGTATACACATGCTGAGTATGGAGCAAAGGAGAGGGAGAAGAGACCTTTACTCTGAGTGATCAGTTCCTCTCCATGTCACCAGGCAGCATTTTGTACTTTTGCTTATTTTATAGCATTTAATTGTACATTATGGTAACTCCTTCATGTTCTAGCCAACATGCTGTTAAAATAATTTTATTCAAATATCATATAACTGTAATAGTAGATGCTCCTCGTTTACCAAGCATGATGCAGAAGTTAAAAATTTAAATCCATCTTTAATATCATTTATTGCATCTATGTATAGAGTTAATAAGATACATAGACTATTCTGACACATATTTTTGACAAGTGCAATTTTCGTTTTTGCTATTTGATCTTGTACAGTTGATCTGCTTTGAGCCACAGCTTCTTTATGTGTGAAATCAGGGTAATAGTAATATTCTTCTCATGTTTCTGAGTATGGGTTTAGTTGGCAAATTATGTCATGTGCCTAATTTCTTTAAAAACACTTCACTTCTAGAGCTTAAGCTGACTATTGTCATTAATAATATAAGATCCTATTCATCTTATATTATTTATTAGACACCTATTAGAATGTTGTTAATGAATTGGATATCTATTGCCTTTACTTCTTTCAACTACTGACTTTGAATTGTCTCATTGAATTTTTTCTCATAGTCTGTGGATTCTAATTCTCTTTTAAATATTCAACTGTCTATGCCTATATTTATATATAAAGCATTAAAGCAGTGCAGTGTTTGTTTGTGATATATAACATTATATTGATGATGTAGTCATTAATTTTGACTTTTAAAATTTCATAGTCTCCAGAATGAAATAATTCTGTTGGTATAAAGGTACAGTTACAAGACTGATTAACTTGTTTCTTATTGAAATATTCTCTTTACTTGTAGGATATTAATATAAGTCATTATGCTTGGATTTCTTATGGCAAAAAGAATCTTAGCAGTTGGCAAATTTTCTATTAATTTTGAATTGGTCATGTACTTTGGTTTATTCAATCATCTTATGGTTGTAACCTAACAATAATCATTCAAGCAAAGATAGCAATATAGCACTGTAGTCAATATGAAAATGTATATACTAGGCTATTGAAAGTCTCATATATTTTCTCAATTTCTAATTGGAAATTGCAAGCTTATGTTTTCCTTTAGACATAGACTTTATAATAACATAGCCAGTATTTCCTTTAAGGTAATACACGGAATATGACACATACTTAGTTCTATATTCCTAGAAAAAGGAATGTATTCTTCATTTATATTTTATATGTCTTAAATCTTATAAACCACTTCAAATTTCTTATTTCAACATAGAATATTTTATCATTGAACTTGGCAATGGAACAGATAGCCTAATTTGGCCAAATTAGATAAATGGATACGATTTTGAAATAAAAGTAAAAAACAAAGCAATACACTAAAGAAGCGAATTGCTCTGAAATGTGCTGCCAAGACAGTATCCACACAATTATTAATTCAGCCAGTGCCTTAAGAAAAAGTATCAAAGGTAGAGACAGGTTTATCTCTGTGAGTTCGAGGCCACCCCGGTCTACATAGTGAACTCCAGGCTATCTGGGTCTACAGAGATACCCTATCTCAAGCAAACAAACAGACAAACAATCAATCAAAAAACAAAAAAAAAAAAAAGAAAAGGTATCAATAAATTCTCTATGGTTTTAAAGCATTAAAAACATCTAATTTAAAATAGTTATTAAAATAGTATAATAGTACCAACTAAAACTAGTACTGTGCTAATATTACTAAAATTAGAGCCCTCTGGATATTAGACATAGACCTTTTAAAATATAATTCTTAATTTTTCTGATATTTTTATATTTCTTAAAAAAAGTGCCCTTTTTCATATTTATTATGTTTATATATGGTGAAAATGAAATTATTAATGCTTTTGTTTGTATTTCTTTTCTGCATGAAAACTTGCCCCCATTATTTCTGTATTTCATCTCAACAATAACATACAGATGATGTACAATATGTTTACATTTTTTTATTTGTTAAAAAAGAAAGTGTGCAATTCTATTGTTCTTTATGTATATTAACATACTTTCCAAATTTGGTGTTTTCCCTGTTATTGTTTTTAATCAGCTCTTGAAATACTCCACAAATTCTCATACGTTTTAATCAATTTAAATGTGCTCAATGAAAGTATTACGAATTTGCCTTAAATCTGAGCAACTTTTTCAAAAAGTGTGTTCGTAATAATGTACGTAAAACCTGGAAGATAGTATTTTATTAATTCACTTCTGGCTTGCAATTCCAAAAAATCGGGCCCCTTTTGTAATAGGGAGTCTCACATCAGACTGTAAGAAAAGCAAAATTCATTTTCTATTATCAATACATTTAATGAATCATTTCATTTGAAAATGAGACTTCACGTATATTCTGCTGTGCAGTATACGCCAGCAAGGGTGCCATAGTGCTTTTAGTTTGATCTTAATTCACTTGATTTAATTTTCCCCGCACTAAGTTAATTCTCTTTAATTAAAATTTTAAGATCTTATGTATTTTGGGGAAGATGTATTTCATAAAACTTTGGAAATACTGTAAATCAATGTAATAGTATCTACACATTATCATTATTTTGTGTTTAATATTAAGGTACTTTTATAATTTTATTTGGTTTTATTTTAGTAAAGTATTTTATAACCATTCCACATTACATGTAATGACTACCACATGTGAGTGATATAGTTCGTAATCTTTTCAAAGCACTCAATGGGTGCATTTTTGGTGTTTGGTTTCTTTAGAGTCAGTTTGATATTCTTTCATAGTGGTCGGCAAAGCATAACACACTTGCCTATGACAACTTTGTTAAAACTATTTCAGACATCAGAAAATTGATTGTTAATGTTGGTCTTTATATTATGAAGTCATAATCACCATTTTACATGTAGGGTTATTTTCATTTATTTCACTTTGGATAAATGCCTTTAGTAAATGTATGGAAATAAAATATTTACTTAATTTAATTTTTGTTTAAATGAAATTTTCTTTCTCATTGTAGGTGGCCTGCATGCAGTTTATAAATGCCCTTGTCACTTCTCCCTATGATCTTGATTTTCGAATTCATTTAAGGAATGAGTTCCTCCGTTCTGGACTAAAAGCAATGCTACCTGTAAGTTCAATGCACACATTTATTATGCTCATAAACTTTTTTTTTTACTCTTTGGACATAAGTATATTTTGAAGGAGAGCATTACTGTTTCCTTACTTTTGTCTTAAACAAAATGCTAGACATTTTGTAAACTCTTTTACACTGCAGGCATAATATTCTTAGTATACAGTGGATGATTCATAATTTTCTTAATGGTGTTCCTCAGACAGTATTCTTGTCTTAAGTCAAAATAGAACTACTTCTCTTTGAATTTTGAATGCCGAGTGCATAAGATGCTTGTTTTTTTTTGCACGTTCAGTTTTCATTTCATTTTTTTCTGCTTTCCTCTGATAATTTAGCTTGATTTCCTTTGTATTTAATGTAAGTGTGCACACTGAGCATTTGGGATAATTCGCTCAAATCTGATACTCTTCTTGTATGGCTTGAGGAACTTTTCTAAGGAGAAACAATTTCAATTATTAAATTGAATGTGAATGCCCATTTCCAGTTATGAGAGGACTAGACTATATATGGAATGGTTTTATAGTCTGCGTCTGATAAATGAGCATCCTTTCTCTATAAATGCAACAATGTTACTTTATATTTTATTTATTAAGTGTATTCATTGAAGAATGACTTTCTTTATGATTATGGCATTTTTAATGGAGATAAGTAAACTCGTACTGGTTTTTTTTTTCACTCAGGCTGTTCAAAATATACATGAGAAACAGGAAGTAAGGAAGGGAAAACAAATGGATATGGAAAGAAATTTGATAAATGCACATGTATATAGCACCTAGATTATTATATTCTCCCAAATACTTCTGGTGAGGAAGCATGGTATGACCTATGCTTATAATTTGAAACTTTTATAAGACTTTCTTTCATTACGTCTATTTAAACCTATTTTAACAGGGTATGTGGCTGATTTTGCTTAGTTTCAGAGATGTCTTTCTTACTGCCATGTTGAGTGGTTATTAAATATTTTATTTTAATATTCAAGGAATTTGGTGCTGTGAATCAAAGCAACATCTTAAGTGACTAATTGATAAGTTCACTGTGCTATTAACACAGTAACATGTAGGTGCATTCACCAATTACAGTGTGTGTAGCATCTTCTTCATTTATTACTCTACTCTCCTAAAAACACATGGACATTTGATAGATAGAGAAAGACTTTTAGTCTTGATTCTGGTTTGCTTTGGAGTTGTCTTCTCATTGGATTCCTTGATTATCCTACTGGGCTAACCTGTTTCTGGGAAAATAAATTCTCTAGCCATTCCAAGCTACAACGGCCTCTTATCCTATCTAATCATGTACTAATTCATCATGTGTTCTGCCTCTTTTGTTGCTTTTACTCTTTCAGTCACTTATTTGTACCTTTATATTCTTCCCTATAATTTCAAATAATTAGTGGAGAAAACCGTGATTTTCATTTTGATTCATTTTAAACCACATCTTTTCAAAATGTTAACTTTTGACCTTTGCTTTTAGAGATTTGTCTGAGTGTATAAATCTCAGTCAGGTCCATGATCTCAGGGTGTGCTGCTTGTTTATGTTGATAGCAGAGGTTGTATGTCAGTCCTATGCTTTTCCACTGGCCGTTTAGCCCTACATAAAGACTCAAGTAACCTCCTGCACTTCTGAATATGATTTCTTCACATATGCTTCCAGGCATACTTCTCTTTTCTATTTAGTAATAGTTTTCGATATGACATCTCCATTATGCTGTGCTTCTGAGACGTCGTGATTCCTCAGCAACAGAGAAGTGGTAAACCTCCTATTTTTCTCCTTAATTTTTGGAATAGAACTGTCAGGGATCCTCAGAAAAATTTCCCCCGAATGACTGCCAGAACCCTGTGGATGGTAGGTCAGGAATGTTTGTTGTGAGCGAAACCTCTCCTGGTATTTCTGTCTGATGAAAAATAGAATCCAGGCCGATAAACTTTCAGCACGCTGGAGATTATTTCCTTAGGTTTATAGATTGCTTTACTAATTGCTATTATTGCAATTTAAATTTTGTGACTTGACAAAAGACCGAATGGTTATGCTTTAATACATATTAGATCTTCCTTATATACCAACTGCTATTTAATTAACAGACTAATTAACTAAACATTTTAATATAAACCTTTACTACTTATAGTAACATTCAACATTTCTCCAAAAGCATTGCACCTTGATTAGATTCGTAGATCAGCTTTTCAAATCCTTTTATTTTCTACTTCTTGTTCTTTGACACACAGCTCTAACAAGATCTTTATATTTTTCTGAAATTGAGCTTTTTCAATGCCCTCAATTACACATGACTAGGACTATTATCACTGATTGATGTATGAATCCAAAATTGCACCTACCTAGACAATTGATAGGTGAATATACTTTAATATTTTTGATGTAAACATAGTTCTGTACAGTGAAAACTTTAATAATAATAATTATCAGCATCCTGAAGACAGAGAAGTTATTTTAATCAGTTTATGTGAACATTTACTTTCACATCCCCTCTATCACTGATTAAATTTTGGTGTTTCAAGGGAGTTTATGTTTATATAGAAAATTTATTTTTGATAAAAATGCTTTGGTAATTTAGAATATATTTATTGGTATATACACTATAATGTGTTTTAAGACCGATTTACTTTTAAATTGATAAATATTGATTTATTGTGAAATTTCTACACCTGTCTTTCATCTAATTAGATAAGCAGATATTAAGTAAATCAGATGTATGATAGGACAACACATTAAGAAATCATGTTTGTGGGCAATGGGAGTACTTTATAGCCTGTAAAAAAACTGCAAAACAGTTTTTTAGTCTTTTGAAAATTTAATTATGATTGCTTGCCTGATGATCTGTAATATGCTGATAAAGGTCTTTTGTTTTTCCTGTAAAATACACCATATTATACAAAGTTAAATATGTTTTTCAATGATTCTGTGAAAAGTTACCATCACTATATAGTATGTCACAATACTTTACATATTAAAAAAGCATGCTTCTGGAATTTCATGATATTCCGCTTTCTGTAATATACAACACTGGCGATGTATTTCCACTGTCATTTTTAGATATTTTTAATTTTCTTTTTAAAAATTAGCATAAAGATAATGGCATTAGAAAAAACCGGTATGCAGAACATTTTCATATGTACTTTGTTATTCCTGAAACTTTTTCTCTACTTCTTGCCCCACTCGTCCCTTTTCTCCCCTAGTAAATCCCAGTCAGCTTTTATTTCACATATATTCCATTTCTTCAGGTGCCCATGCTTCTGTTAAGATCTGCTTTCCTTCTCTTCTCCAATTTCTGTTTTCATGACATAAACCCATGCTCATGCCCACATTTGTGCACATATATAAAAATTCAAATCCAGGCTATGCATAGAGTAAAACATGAAGCCTTTGTCTTTCCAAGTCTGGGTTACTTTATTACTGTAATAATTTCCAGGTGAATTTATTTTCTTGCAAACACCATGATTTCATTTTCCTTTCTGCATGAATAAAATTCCATTGTTTCTTTTATCCATTCTTTTGATGATGGTCATCAAAGCTAACTCTATTTACTAGCTGTTGTGTCTAGTGCAAAAATAAATATGGCCATGTAAGTATGTAGTAGTATTTTAGTCCTTTTACAATATTCCCAAGTGTCATATAGCTAGATCATATCTGTCTTGGTCATTTGTAGTGATTAATTTTTTTTTATTTATCAAATGTTTATTTTGTAAAAATCTACACACATATTTTTCAGGGTTTGACATTTGAAAGATTGTACCAGGATAAATAAAAGTATGCTATGTCTATATTCACAAATATGAACAGGATTAAAATGATTGTAAGATGAAGAACATTTACAGTGTTTGACATGCACATACACCTGTATTTTTAAATTTTGCTAAATAAATTGCATACTTCACTAATGATTTTCCTCGCAAATATTTAATTGTTCACACTGTATTCCATTTTGTTTTGGAAAAGTTCTGGTGCTCATTAAATGTCAGTGTTTAGCTCATTTTATTTCAACACATGGGAATAAGAAGAATCTTGTGCTCTAAAATATATGACTGCCTTTGTAATGATCCAAATGTTTTTAGGTGTGGTTGGCTTCCACACTTGCAGTATTTGACATACAAATATTGCATTACGCTATTCTCCAGTAAATCTTTCTCCTTGAAAATGGATAACTAGATTCAAAACATGTTCATATGTGGAGGAAAATAATTGCAAATAGTTTTGTTATATTTTGTATGAAACTAGATATAAATAAAGTATTTTCATGCACCATAGGTAAACATTCATTTTAAGAGATGTCATCTAGGAAGTTCTTAGGTTTGTGTTCAGTTTAAATAATAGCCATTACATTGACACTTATAATTGTTCTATTGGATAAATATGGACATGAGAAATGCATCCCATTTTGTTAGCTTACTTAATTTGAAGCACACTGTGCAGGCATTTCCTTTTCGAGTTCAAGCTCTGCTCTGAACATCATAACCCCACTTTTGATATCACCCTTTAAGCCTCCATAGTTGTGATTATCACGTTTTGTGATTATCGAGTTTTGAAAGCAGAAACTTAATGGGAAATTATTAAAAGAAATTGAGGTGACACACTAGGCCTTGACACAAATGGCAGAATGCATCAATGCCAGTGGTGGGGTTATGGGAGGGTGCCAGTGGGGAAGGAGTTGTAAAGGGGATTAATTGGGATGTTCTGAATGAAATACAGAAAAATTTAATAAAAAATGCTTTTTATTAAAAATATTATATGTATAGTTATATGTAGTTCCACATGAGCAGCATAATTATATTTGTCAAGGTAGATGGAACATTGAAAGCTAAAAGAAAAAAGATTTTAATAATATGTGGAATTAAACCATATAACTTCTTAAAAAAAAAAGAAATTGAGGTGATCTACTTAAGCCCAAATATCTTTATTGTATCACATCTCCAAAGGTATTAATAATATCATTTAAAAAATGATCAGCTGTTTGTGATGCATATGTTTATGATGTATTGCAAACAAGTCTTTGATTCCCAAGTTGGTATTTTGTGATTAGTCAAAGGAAGAATGAAAAGTTGGCCAGTTTAGCTATTCATCTTGATTAAAAATAAAACCAAAACTAGAAACAAAAACCTGACACCTTTTTGCTTGAAAACCACAAAATATCATTCATAATAAATTTGTTTATATATATTTCCTTTTTTTTGGTGGAGGCACATGTGAATGTTCTCACTGCATGATTTTTTTTTGTGATTGCTGATGAGTATATTTAGTCAGAATGACAACATTTAATATGGGTTGTTAACAATTAGTGTTTGTTCGTATGGAAGTGATTGTTAATTTGTTAATTTTAAAATGTGAATAATAAAGCATTGCAGCATGGAAAAAGAGTGCAATGAAATGTTTTTTTTTTTTTTATTCTGAAAGAGATAAATTTAGATGCATTTATGTTTTTTTCAGGAAAACAAGTGCCTGGGTCAGATTTGAAACTGTATCTATGTGTAGAAATGAATAATTGGGTTCTGTCTCTCATTAGCAAAATATGCTGTTGCTAAATGGTTCTTAATTTTCTGAGTTTCATTTTCATATATTAGGATCTTAAAGAGAAAGAGAATGATGAACTTGATATTCAGTTGAGAGTATTTGATGAAAACAAAGAAGATGACCTAACTGAATTATCCCATCGTCTCAATGACATTCGAGCTGAGATGGATGATATGAGTGAAGTCTACCATCTTCTGTATAATATGGTGAAAGACACTGCTGCTGAAAGTTACTTGCTGTCCATTCTGCAACACTTTCTGCTAATCAGAAATGATTATTATATCAGGTAAGAGGCAGTTCCAAGAATACTGTCTGTTCAACTTGAACTGAAAAGAGAAATAAAATTAACAATGTAGTGGGAACTAGGAGGTAACATTGAAAAAGTATGTTATTTTATTTTAATTTGGCTAGAAAAGATATATATTTATAAAATGGGGTACACAAGCAGTAAGGCTGTCAGTAGAAATTAAGCCAAAATATATTACTGACTACAGGTTTTTTTTTTTTTAGTTGAGACATAGAGAAAGCATTGGTGATATGAGAACTTTTTATGCAGATTTTAATAAGTTTGATTATGGCTTTAATATTTTATTATTTTTAAATTTTATCTGTCTGAATTTATTGCCTGCATGTATGTACGTGTATCCATGTCATGCAATGTCCACTGAGGTCTGAAGAGGGTATCAGATCCCCTGGAACTGGAGTTATGGCCTGATGGTTGTGAGCTGCCATGTGAGTGCTGGGAACCAAATCCAGGTCCTCTGCAAGAGAAGCCAGTGCTCTTAAGTCCCAAGCTGTCTCTCCAGTCCCTTATTATTTCTTTTTATGGTATTTAGTAAATGTGTAATATTTGCATATAAGAAAATTTTAATGTGCACATTTCCAGACTGCTGGTCATTTACTCCTGTGAACTCCCAGCAATATTGACAACATACACAATTCCCATGTAAGCTCAAGTCAGTCAAAATCCCAGCATAGATATGGGGAAGTGGAGAAGAAATCCCAGTCCTAGCTGAAGAACTATTGACAACTGATGGCTGCTGGGAGGGGAACAGTCAGTTTCATTTAAGGGTGAGACTCTTAGTAGGTTGACCAGGCTCCACTGGATGAAGCAACACCAAAGGGCTTTGGAGGAACACAAATTTGACTGTATAGGTCTCCCTCTCTCAGAGAGATCTTCTCCTCAGAGGGGAGACTAGTGTACATGAAATTGGGTGGGAGAACATATGGGGCACAGACAGGGGAGGGGTTCTGAATATGATCAAAGTTTATTTTGAATTTTTAAAAAATCAAAGCTTCAGATAATTATTGCACATATTTTAGTTGTGTGAAATTATATAATTTTTCATAATGAATGCATATGATAATATCCCACAGTTAGATTTTAGAATAATATAATAAGGGACTCTATCTGAAAAATGGAAAGACAAAAAAAGATTTCTGAATGATTGAAATTATCCATAGGCTGGTGACCATGATCTTATATTTAGCAGTTTAATTATACTTAGCTTGTGTCATACTCTCCTTTCAAGCAATTATGATAACCTTAATTCTCTGATTTCTCAAGATTTTCTTGAATAAAAGGAAAAAGAACAGTACTAGTAGATTAGTAATATTGGCATCAAAGGCGACAGTTCTCAAACAACGTATGGAATGATTACAGTTCAGGCCAGTATAATAATCTAATTAACATCATGATGTTGCAGACAAATAAAATTTGAAAATATTAATTTATTATTTCTAGCAGAAATAGTATACAGTAATACACTAAAATTACTATTCTTTTAATTTAAACTCTGATTATATTAGTTTGCAGTAGTTAGGATTATTCACTTTCCTAGGAATATGATTGGTTTGAAACTCTCCATTTCTCAGCAACTGTCATTAAATGAGAAATAATTCACAAATGGCATACTTTAAAAAAAAATTGTGTGTATGTGGTGTATCTGTGAATTTTTTTGTGTGCCATGTGTGTGCAAGTATGTGCCCTTCTGCTCACACGGAGGCCAGGTGAGAACACTTGGTGTGCTGTTAATCTCTGCCTAGTTAGCTAGAGACATGGTCTCTTACTCAATCTGGAGGTAGGCTGTCAAGTTCCAGTGACCCTCCTGTCTTCACCCTGCCCATAAACCCCCATCAGTGTGGTTACAGAAGTGTAGAACCACGTCTAACCTTACTTGGATACTAAGATTTTTTAAAATTATTTAATTAATAATCACATACTTAGAAGAAGCATTTCATTACAACAGCATTGACATATTCAATAAAAATTTCCAGACCTAAGGTGCATCTCTTTCAAAATTGGCTGTAAATTTTTAGGTTTGCAGTTGAATTAATACAGTTATGTAATATTTTACTCAGTATAAATTCTATAAGACATAAAATTGAATGAGGTTTTAACCTTTAAAAAAAATCTCCATTTCATTTTAAAATATATTATTTCATACAGAAAACCCCATAGTACAGGCGACAGCATGCTAGATCTTGACTGAGAAGTCAGCAGTAGGCAAGACCTGCACATTGGTGGAATAGCATTGACTTGATTAGCCAAAGATTTTTTTTAAATTTAATCATGTAGTTACTAAAAATAAAAAAAAACAATGATTAAAAAATAATATGTCTTCACATCTACTAATTATTAAGGAGCAAATTTTTATGATTGAAGACATATTATTTTTTTTTTTTTTTTTTTTTTAATTTTTAGTAACTACATGATTAGAAGAAGCATTTCACTACAGCTTTAACATATTCAGTAACACACTCCAGAGCAAGAGTACATGACTTTCACAAGTGGCTGCAAGTTTTTAAGTTCACAGTTGAATTAATACAGCTATCCAATAAGGAACTCAGTATAAGCCCTGTAAGACATAAAACTGAATGAGTTTTGACCTTTAAAAAAGATCTCCATTTCATTTTAGAATATATTGTTCCTTGCAGAAGGACTCATTGTTTTTGCTACTAACACTGAGATGTTGGTGCATGCATCTCTAATCTATACGTATCTGATTATTACTAGTCATAATCGGTTTCTCTTGGATCCTTGGTGCCTGTGTATGTCTATAAAGTCAACGGGTAGATTTCAGTGGTAATGTTTATCACCTCTACTAATTAGCATGACATAAATTTCCATGCGTCCTCATCAAATATAATACGTTTTTTTAAAATATGTTGATTTGTGTGTGTGTCTGTGTGTGTGTGTGTGTGTATCACACAGAACATCCCAAACCACCTTATTCAACTATACACCCAGTTCCCAGATGGCATCCTCCCATAGCCTCCCTTCCCCGACTAGAGCCCTTATGCTCTGATATCCCTGCTACTGTCTGATGTGTTGTTGGCACCCCCAGCCATTCCCCACTACTTGCCTTCTGGTGAATCTAGTCAGCCTATCTAGGCGTCTTTGTTTTGGGAGGGTCAGCTGTTCCTCATCTAGCAGCAATCAGTTGTCAATATTCCTTTAGATAAGATTGGGGTCTGCTGTTCATTTTCCCAGTTCTATGCTGGGTTACTATCTGGGAATCTCTTTGGCCACCCTGGCCAACAACTCAAAAGAAGGTATCTCCTATTTGGTATTGTTGCTTGTTATGTAGCCTTTAGCTATGTATGTGGACTCATGAAATTCTATCGGACCCTTTAATCTTTGGTTATACTTTCCTTTTGGGTGTTTAAGGCCATACAGTTGGCCTAGATAAACCAATTTATTTTTACCCTTAAGGTCGTTTGAGGATCTGTTCCTCAGGGGTCACATGGGCTTGGGAGGAGCCCCTGGCTCCTTTCTTTTACCAGTTCTGCCTATATGAAGGTAAGACAAAGGTCCTGCTCGACCATGGTTGGCTTCGCTTGGAAGCATGGAGGAAATGATTCCTCTGTGTTGACCCTCCTCTTTGTAGACTGGACAATGGTTCAAGTCCATCTGGTGGGGTCTCCTCAGCCTCCTTGATCAAGAGGACAGGTGACCCTCCACAATTGCAGGAAATTTTGAGAGATGCTCATAATCCCCTGGAACTAGTCAACTTAGGAGGGCAAGGAGCAGAGACTGTCCTTTATGTCCCTCTGACCAAATTATTATAGGCCTCAAAGTATGTCTGTTAAACATTGAAGGTTAGTTCCACCAGTCTGGTATTTTTATTTCCTGTATGTCATGTAGATAAATCTTAGGCAAAGACCAATTGTTCTTAGATAAACATTACGTAGACATATATTTCTTGATCTGCTGTGTATAATTTGTCAGTAGGTTGTAGGAGTAATTCGGTTCCCTCTGGTTTTCAGAACTAGCTAGACATTGTTTATATCTCGCATTGTCTCACCCGTCCATGATGGTTTTCCCACTTAAGATGCCCCCATTTCCTCCCTTTCTCCCTTAATAATACCCTACTCCTACAGTCCTATCTTTCTTGAGCTCCTTCTTTTTCTTTATCCCCTAGGTTCCTTGTATACCCTTCCCTCTCCCGTCCCTTAAACTAACCCAATTTTTATCCATATCCCCCTTATTAAGGCCTGGTTCCTACTGTTCTTATCTTTCAGGTTCTTTCTTTTCCTTTACCTCCCTTTTTCCTTTCCATTATCCTGGTTCCTGTTGTTATGTCTGGATACATACTCATTTATCAGGGTTTGGTTCTAGGTTCCACACACGAGGGAGTACGTATGTCGATTTTTTTTCTGAGTCTGTGTTACTTCACTTAGTACAACAGTTTCTAGTTCCACCCATTTACCTGCAAATTTCACGATTTCATCTTTCTTTACTGCTGAGTAAAACTCCATCATATAAATGAACCACATTTTCATTGCCCACTTTTCAGTTGAGGGACACTTAGGTTGCTTCCATCTCTCAGCTACTGTGAAATGAGCAGCAACAAACGTGGATGTACATGTGGCTCTGCAATAGGATGAGTTCTCTGGGTATATGCCAAGGAGTGGTATAACTTGGTCAAATGGTAGGTTCATTTGTAATTTTTTAAGACTTCTCCACACTGCCCTCCATGGGCGTTGAACAAGTTTGCAGACAACCTGCCAGCCTCACTCCCTGGAGTCCTCTGGGCCTGGTCCTGCCCTCAACTCCCTCTGCTTCCCTGGGCTGCATGTGTTGCCGGCCTCTTTCCTGGATGCCAGGACTGACCTCTCGGCCTGGGGCCACCACTGCTTCCTGATGCCTTGCATCCAGATGGACCCAGTTCCTTCTCAATGTCCCCAGGAGTACTCTGGGCCTGGTCCCGCCCTCACCTCCCTCTGCTTCCCTTGGCTGCAAGGCCCACCAGCCTCTTCTGGACTCAGGGGGCTGACCTCTCCGCTGGGGCCACCATTGCTTCCTGATCCCTTGCATCCAGATGTTCCCAGTTCCTTCCCGAGGTCCCCACGAGCCCTCTGGGCCGGGTCCTGCCCTCACCTCCCTCTGCTTCCCTGGGCCTGCACGACCCACTGGCCTCTCTCCTGGACACTGGGCCTGACCTTTCTGGCTTCCTGATCCTTTGCATCCAGACCAACCCAGTTCCTCAGTGCAGTCCCCAGGAGCCCTTGGGGGACTCCCCGCCCCCATCTCCCTTTGCATCTCTGGGTGGCAGAGACACCAGCTGCCCAAGACCAGCATCTTTCTTGTGCCCTGCTCCCATTTCAGTCAAACCCCCAAATTCCTGAGGCCAAAATCTTTCCTGGAGGGATCCAGACCTTAGGAGATAGCCTGAGAGCATCTGATCCTCATCTGACTTGGGCCTCTGTGGGAACTCCTGAAGACAAAAGCAATCTGGCCCGTCCAATATAAAATCAAAAGAGAGAACCAGAAGCTTAGACGAACAGACTGAACAGACGATCCAATGCTATTTACCTCCAGACCTGGTGATGACTTTGAGAGTGTCCAGAAATGCAATGCATATTACTTGTTATCCTTAATCTTAGGACTGGCTTCATGATGACACATCTAGAATAGCAATTAGAATCTGTTTGGCTCCATTTTCCAGTTTTAATAGTTTGACAAGCTAAATTTAAGTGTGTTTATATCATAACTTTTCTACAGTTTTACTTGTTCCTGAATTTTTGTTGCTGAATATATTAGCCCACGACAATTTGTCTTCCACAAATTTTAATGTTGAAATGTCCCTTATTTTTAATTTTGCAGTGAGTGGTCATTTTTAAAGCCAGAATTACCTTGGCAGATTACAGAAAAATGATGTGTTTTAAAACCTTTGACATTTTAGACAAATTGCAGCTGTAGATATGCCTAATAAATATATATACTTTTTGTAAAACAGATTTTCAGAAATGTGCTGTGCAAACAGCTCTTTATAATGTCTATAACAAATGACTCAATCCATTTTTGTAAACTCTTATGACTATCTTGAGTAAATGCTCTGTACTGAATTCAAGATACTGCTTGTCACCCAATTCCAAGAATGTCATCTTTCTTTTTTTGAAAATGAGAACTTCTAGATGTCTAGAACCATTTCTGTCCTTGTGGTTATAGGACCAATGGGTCTTTTATTTCATTAATTTTAGAAACAAAACCTTAAATAAATAGATAAGCTTGATATGTTCTTTTGAACACTAGCATGAATCCCTGCAAATTAGAATATTAAGCTATTACACATTTTTAGTTGATTACATTGTGGGAAATTTGTCCCTTAACATCTAGACTATCTTTAAGTGTTCAGCATATTTTTTCTAAGGGAATTTTAAAGTTAATGGTGTTATTTTGTTAGTGTTTTTAGAAAAAATTCTATTCTTTTAGCATATTGAATCTATTCATAAGAAAATTGATTGATGTATGTAGGAAAGTAATCTCAAACATTTTCTCTTTTTCAGGCCACAGTATTATAAAATAATTGAGGAATGCGTTTCGCAGATAGTGTTGCACTGTAGCGGCATGGACCCAGACTTCAAGTACAGGCAAAGATTAGACATTGATTTGACTCATCTGATAGGTATGATTATTAGCCTTACTGTCATTTGTGCTTTACAACTTCTGCATACTAAACACTTTTTAGGCCTCTCAATCAGTTTGTGTTCCTATCTGGTAAACTATTGTTGCCACAGGTATTCAGTTGTTGTAACTATTAATTTTGAGAATCATAAGAACTCTGCTTATAGCCACAGATACATTAACCCATTTTTATGGTTTTGATCTTTTCATTTTTAGAGAATTTCATACATGAAAACTGTATTTACACCTTTCCACTCCTCTGTCTCCCTGTTCTAACTATTTCCATGCCCCACGTCCCTCTCAATTTTGAATGCTGAGAAATGACTATGGGGTGCTGATCCCTAACTAACACATCTAAAATCCAACCCCAACACATAAGGCCTAGGGAACAAGATGGAAGAGAGGGAGGAAATAGTGTAAGAGCACAGAGTACCAGGACACCTGATGCTAGACAGTGTCTTCTAGACACGGTAGGGAAGCTGCCACCATGAATTTTAACAACATGGTTGCCTAAATAAATTCTGCTTAATGGCAACACCAATTGACATTAACCTGTTTGATATGTTTTAACACTACTGAGTCAGTTGATGCTCAGTTGCAGTGCCCAGAAAAAGCCAGTATATTTTTATAGGTGAATGCCTTGCCTTTTAGAAGCGTGACTCTGATATCCTTTAATTCAGTAAATCTTCATATCTTACATGTGTTCTAGAAATTGTGTTTATAGTAGAGCTCAATATTATAAATTTGTTACTCGTGCTTATTCCATGGAATTTTTAAGGTTGTTATAAAGATGAGTATATATTTTCACAAACCTCAGAGCTAGGGAAGAATTGGAAGTCATCATATTCTTCTCCTTAGACTGCAAAGGAATGACCTTATATTCATATAGACTACTAGTCAACAATACTTTTTTTTTTCTTTTTCTACTGAGATTTTTAAATTTCATACATTTCCCACTCAAATCCAGACCCCCTCCCTCATCTATGCCTCCCCCATCCTCCCACCAAACCCTATGTGAGGCTTATTCATTCATGTGAGCCTGTGGCAGCGGTGGCATTGAGGGCAAGACCCATGTCAGCTCAATCAACAACAATACTTTTTAACAACCTTGTGAGTTATCTGAAACTTCCTCATGTCATTAGGTTTCTGTTAATGCTTGCCATAACAGCATGATTCCTTCATAATATGCTTAATTGAACATTCTTATGTATAGATACTTGACTTTTTGTCACTGCTGCTTTTAGAAGTACTTGCTATATGTGAAGATAGGAATTTCAAAGGCCAAATGCTCCTTAGAAAGCTTGTTCCTTTAAATGTGTGAGCTACATCTCCCTTATTTTGTTTGTTTCTTTTCTTATTGGTTTTTTGGGTGTGGCAATGTTGATGAATACTGTGGAACTCTCATTAGAAAACACACGCGTGCGCACACACACACACACACACACACACACACAAATTTACCCCCAAATCATCAAACACTTTAATAACATGTTCGGAATCCCTGGACCTCAGTTTTCCGATCACTTATACCTGATAGGGCTTGTATTTTCTGATTTCACATTTCTGTAAGCTCTGTTATTTTTCTTAAAATCAGATCATACCAGATCCTTTCCTAAAACTATTCAATGACTTCTCTTGAAATTTAAATAGAAATCGAAGTAAAATTAATTTCTGGCCACATCTAGCAGCACACTCTAGAAGCCCCCTTTGTTGTGAACACATTCTCTTTTTCCCATGTTTTCTAGCTCTACTTATTGCTGACACATCCTGCTAATTGCTCTCCTACTGGATTTACTTTTTTTCTGCTTCTCTTCTCTTGTTTGCCTTTCTGTTACAAAGTCTGGTACAAACATGTTTTATTTTCTTTTGGAGAAATGGAGGCTAGATATAATAGATTTTATAAATAAGAACAAAACATATGACTCTAAAGAGGTTCATAACACTATGTTATAAAGTGTTTGATTGGTTCTGAATTGATTTCCTTTTAATCTTCCTGTAGTCCCTGCTGGTCTAAAACTTTCTATGTACGCCAGACTGGTCTGTAATACTTTGAGATTCTTCTGCTTCTGCTTCCCAAGTGCTAGGATTAATAGTGTGTGTGTGCCACCACACCCAGTATACCTGAATAGCATTGTTTGTTTCTGTATATGTGAAATACATTTTGCTCCTTATCAGAAGTAAAAATATTCACTGGGAAGACTGAATTGATGGGTGTCACTCCATTTCCACACCCCTCCAGCTATTTTTGTAAAGGATCATTTTTGATTTCTGATCATTTCAAACATGGAGTTTTTACCATTTCTCTATACATACATAGTAACTGCAATTAAAAATAGTTCTGTAATTGTAAAAGTATAATTAAACATGTTCAAAGCACTGATAATTTTCTCAAACTGTTATGGATGCTTGCTTTTGTTTTAGCAGTACACTAAAGGCAGAGACTGTGGTAGTTTATGTGTATTTCTGTATCAGCCAATTTCCCTTTAATAATAGTTCATGTAAAAAGTATTAGGTTATTTACCGGTAGCCATAATTAACTAGAGATCCAGTGTCATTTTTCTAATCAGTATTGTTTAATCTGAATAGATTCTTGTGTAAACAAGGCAAAAGTTGAAGAAAGTGAACAAAAAGCAATGGAATTTTCAAAGAAGGTAAGGCTGATAAAATGATATCACGTAATTTTAAATTAGTAATTTAATCACAAAGCGTATTCTGCTTTGTTTCTTTATATGGCACCTGATAACCTGTCTTTCAATTTTTATTGTGCTTTATACCACTGATTCAAGCATAATACAATATTGCCTTATTTCCTACTAAAATAAGGTACTGCCTATTCCCTTCTCATCACCTTTTATTCATTAAGTAAGAGAAGCACTGGCCATATTATGCTTAATGATAAATGAAATAAAATTAGCTTGCTGAAAGCATATGAAGTTATTGTCAATGAACCAAAACAAATGCCTCCATTGGTTTCCTTTAGAAGTCAGGTACTTATACCAGACAGCTTTTTGGAGAACTGTGAGATATTTAGTTTGTCTTTTGGGTTGGTGATGAAACTCACTGGGTATAGTGTTTTCCTAACATGCAAGGTTTGATTTCCCAAAATGAAATAAGAGGTATGCTCTTTAGACTTATTGCCAGTGATGGTAGTATTATGTTCTAATTCATTGTTTTCCCACCTCTCACTCTGTTCCTTTAGATTTCATGGAATTGTGTAATTTCCATCTGTTAAATGATACTGCTACTTCATGTAGGCTTGTTGTGATTTGTGGCTCTCCTTTCTTTCTGTGTTTATAAATGGATTTGAGTAAATCCCACCTTCGTGAATATTGCAATTGCATTTAGGTCTAAGATGAAAGCATAGCTACATTTTTATTAGCTTCTGTCTAATGTCCCTTCCTCCCCTTCTTTCTTCCCTCCCTCCTCCTGTTAAGCATTAGCAGAGTACCTCTCTCCTATTTTTCCCAGGGAGTACTGAAACAACAGAAAAAAATTCTGTGGTGTTTTCAGCTCTCTGACAGCAAGATGAAGTGCTTACATATTGCTGCCTCCTCAAAGTTATGACTTACCTTGGAGATTAGATAATCGCTTTGGCTATCATTTTAGAAATTATAGAGTTACTTCAGGGCATCTGAAGAAATGTCTTTGCTCTTGCAGTTGCTAGAATAGATTTTTAAGAGATTTTGCTGGAGCGTAAAATGTTTGTGTGAAACTGTCATTTTTATTGATAAAAATGCATGCTTTTGATGAATAGACCTCTGTGTTTGTAATGAATGTCCTTTTAAGTAGCATGTTTTAGATTTCCATTGAAAATCATAGGAACTCCTTAAATGTTGACTTGACATTATAAGATTGAGGCCAGTTATGAGGACCTTTCTTTGTAAAGGTTTCTGTAAGTATATAATATAGGAAAAAGGTGTCCTGAAATAATAGAAATTTCAGTGTTTAATCATCAACAATGTAAAATACTAACATTTAGGAAGGAAATATAAACATATATGGAGATAGCCCAGTTGTTACTTACATACATTCTCTTCTGTGTTATCTTAATTCAGTATAAAGTAATTTTTTTAAAAAAAAACAAAAAAAACAATGTTAGAATGAGAGGTAGCAATTGTAAGATCGAATCCCAGCTTTAATGCTCATTAGCTGTGATTTTAAGCAAGCCACTTATTCTTCTTGGATCTTGCTTTCTTCATAATTAAAACGAGAGTATAAGATTAGTGAAGTTGAAAGAAGGCCTCTTCTAATTCCCACATTTCAAGTGTATATATTCTCATGCATTTACAGCTAATACAATTTTAAGGTGTTTTGATTTATTTAGTTGTATTTTATGTGTTTGAGTGCTTTCCTGTATATGTAGAAGTGCACACAGGATTCATGCAGTGCCCATGAAGGTCACCGGAGGGTGTTGGATCCCATGGAACTGGAGTTATGGATACTTATTAGCTGCTGTGTAGATGCTGGGAACCAAACCTGGGTCCTCTGCAAGAGTAGCCAGTACTCTTAACATATGAGTCATCTTTCCAGCCCCCACAAGTTTAAATTAAAAGAGAAAAAAATGTGCTTATTGAGTAAAATTTGTTCCTTTAAATGTGTGAGCTACACACATAAAGTGTGCTTGTATAGGTCCCATATTTCTAAAGCTCATAACGGAAGCTAACTTGAGGAGGAAGGATGTGAGTATAGATTGAGATAAATCTTATTAAAGGACCTGATCTTGTTCATTTGATTGCTTGTTTTGTTTTTAGGATAGAGTCTCATTATATTATTCTGCCTGGCCTGGAGCTAGCAGTGATCCTCTTGTCTCTGACTCCAGAGTATTGGGATTACAGGCATGTACTACTTGCTTGGCGGAGACCCCTGACTTCATGATGAGCTAGGGGAAAAAAGGTCATTGAAGGATCTATGGATCCTTCACCCATGTATGTGCCATGCTTTTGAATTTATAGTTAATAGAGATTTTTACCAGCTTTTTTTCAGATGTCTCAGAGATAAATAAAATTATAATTAAGTAGTGTTTCATGTTTTCAGTCAACATTTCCTTCCATTCTAGTCAGCTTCTTTTTCTTCAACTTTGACTAGAATGACATTCTGTAGTTTCGAGAGGTCAGTTGTACTATGAGAATGAATATTAACAGTTCGTTTACTGCTTTATTTTTGCACACACTATAAAGGAAGTTCTAGATAGTGAGATGTATCACTTTTTTAAACAGAAATAACATTGTTGGAATAATGTGTAGACTTAGAAAATGACTTGAGGTGATATTGACAATAAAAAGTAAGTAGAATGTTCTGTAGCCAGACCTATACAGTTTTCACTATAATTCTTTAGGCCAATTGGTGCCTGTTTAGTGGACTATAAGAGCTAGGGCAAGATGCAGCAAATGTTTATGTGCCTGACAGGTGGTTTGCCAGTTTACTATCCCATATTTTCAATTCTCATTTTCTCACCTTTCTTCCCTCTCCTTCCTCCATCCCTCTCTCTTTTCTTTCCTTTCTTTCTTGAACATGTGTGTGAATGTCCACTTGGGTACGTGACTGCCCATGTGTGGAGGTGAAGAAGACCCCCAGGAATCAGCTGTCTCCTGCCCATCTTGTGGGATCCAGTGATCAAACTCAGGTTGTCAGGCCCACATATAAAGGCCTCTACTTGCTGAGTCATCTTGCTGCTCTCATTTTCCCTCTCATGTTGTATAAAGAGGATTTTGTTAACTACCTTGTAAACATGGTATTTCAGTATTTTGCATTCTGCTCTTGGATTTGTGAAGTACCATTTTTTGGATACTGGGGAATGGAAATTATGATAGAACTAGTTCCATTTGAGTTAATGTACATTTATCTGAGCATTCTGAAAATGGAGTGCCTTTTCAAGATTAAATATATTTAGAGTATTAAATGCATGATACCATACTCATAAATTTCATTTTGTAGTTCATCGTACTAAAAAGTGTGGTGTGGATCAGTAATAAACATTAATTCTAAAATTATGTCTTTGGTACCAGAAAATTTCATTATATATGGAGACTTCACCTCTACCTATTTCTCTTGAATTTTTAAAAATGACAGTGAGTTAATTTTATGTTGGTTGGTTGAGTGACATAGTCTTTCTTTACTACAGTTCCAGCAGCAGCAGCCGCAGTTCTGTACCTCTATGTGGATAGTTAATTGTCAGAAAAACAATCAAGACCTCTGACTTTCTGAGTGATCTATAAATGAGCTTGGCAAAAACCCGTTCTCCTTTTTTGCTACATAATGTTTAAATCTTTCTGAAGTATATGTTATTACCTGTTCATTTATGGTGGTGATCTTTGCAGTTTGATGAAGAATTCACAGCTCGACAGGAAGCTCAAGCTGAGCTTCAAAAAAGAGATGAAAAAATCAAAGAACTTGAAATAGAAATCCAGCAGCTTCGAACCCAGGTAAGGAAACATGATATAGACTTTGTGTCATAGTGAGTTTGGTGGTAGAAAATTATCTTGTTAGATAGAAGGAAAATGTGACCAGCAGCAGACTTTTTTTTGACAGCTTCCCATTTTAGTTGAAATAAGTACAGATTTGATTTTTCCAGGACAGTAAATCATTTTAATGTTTGGAAATAAATAAGGCATCATTTGCTCAAACTGCCCTGAGTATTTTTAACAGAATACATTACACAAGCCAAACTGTTTGTGAAATGAAATTTTCATGATGATTTGAAAAATTGTGTGTGTAGTGTTTTCTTTCAAAAAGAATGTACAAATGCTCATGAATTTTCATTATTCAGAAGGCTTCTTGAGATCTCTTTAAATCTAGACTATCATCAATTCAAAACCTATGCACTTTACATTTCTACTCACATTGCTTTGCACAAAAAAACTCCCATGTGTTTTAAAAATATTAATTAGGATGTCTAAACTTTAGAATTCATTAAGTACAGTCCTCAACACACAGTGGCTTAAATGAACATTAGAGGGCTGAAGAGGGTTCCTTTACATAGTGATTGTTCAGTAGGTGGCACTTGATTGACCAGGTATGTTTCCAATCGTATCCTGAGAAATAATACTCAAAGTCTCTAGCTAACTGCAAAGTACCCATAATGGTAGTTTTCTTCTATCTGTAGCATATCATTTTGTCTAATATTTAATCATTTTTTAAAAAAATATTTTATTTATTATTTTTATTTCGTGTGCATGAGTGTATTGCCTGCACGTATGTAAGAACATGCATGTCGAGCAGTGACCGTGGAAGTCAGAAGAAGGTGTGGGAACCCCTGGAACTGAAGTTATGGACAGTAGTTAGCCACCATATGGGTACTGGGAACTGAACCCAGGTCCTCTGCAAGAGCAGTTAGTGCTCTTACCTGCTGAGGCATCTCTCTAGCCTTCTGATCATTTCCTTCAATTCCATCTCTGTGTCTTCTATCTCAGCATTATCTTACTTTCCTTTGTATATGACTGGGAATTCTAGTTTTCTTATGTTAGCATTCCCCAATGGTAAGATTCCTCTGTGTTCTTTCTTCCCTTCCATTTTTCTCTTTTCTCAGCTTTGTATTTTCTTGCACAAATCTCCCGACCAATATCATATGTTGACATGTAACTTCAATAGGTGTCAAGACTTGAGTCTGTTTTAAATTTTCAACTGTCCCTATAGGCAGTTCTTGTGTATTGAAATCACACTCAGTACTTGTATCTTTTCCCTGTCCTTAAACCAGCTTGGTCTCCATTTTAAAATTTTTAGAATTTTACTAAGATTTTCTTAATAGTGAAGTTGGCATTTTTCTTCCAATTTCTTTGCACTGTTCCTGACAAATTAAGTTAGTTGCTGTTTCATTTAAACTGTTTCTTTGACATTTTCACCTTTATTAAAATCCCTATCCCATTACATCTTGCCTGGGTTATTACAATTGCTTCCTAATTTTTCTCCCTGCCTATAGTATTTTTGTCCTTAAATTCAACCTTTTATGTTAATGGGACTTTAATCTTCCTAGAACATTGTACTAATTATTATTAAACGATTTAATATGTTGTTATTACCTGTCATAGTTGAATATAGATAAAATCTCCCTCTGAGGAATTTTTAAGCCTTCAGGCATGAGCTGCTATATATATTCCCTCTGCAGCCTGTGATGATCTTACTGCCCTCCTGACTATAATATTCTCTGTTGCTGCTAAATCACCTTTGTTTGCATCATATCTGCAATTCTACTGGGTTTCTATTTTTCATTCTGCCAACTCTCCCACACATTGCTTACAAAGATGTTAGTGAGTTTTCACACGGTTTTCCATAGTCCACTAAATTAAGCACACATGAAATGGTCCCTTAGCGACCATTGGTCATTAGCATATTAATTAGTCTGAGATAGCCTACATTGAGGAAGTCTTTTTAATTTTTTTTCATATATCTTTCTGTGACTCATTTGACCACAGTACTTTTTTTGTCTGAGCATTATCATCTCCTAGAAAGAATGTTTTCATGGAATTTATCTGGGAAGCCCTGTTAGGTCATTGTCAGAAAAGTCATCTCTTACTAGCACTCATCAACTCACGGGTGCAGGTGAAACAGCGTTTGTTTCCTTCCCTCCGTCCATCCCTCCCTTCTGTCCTTCCTTTCTCTCTCTCTCTCTCTCTCTCTCTCTCTCTCTCTCTCTCTTTATTTTTTGAGACAGAATGTCATTATATAGCTATGGCTGGTCTGGTGATTTTGTAAGTCCAAACTGTGGCTACAGGTTACATTTCATGTGACACCATGCCCCGTTAACTACACAGGTTGTTTAGTTTGCTATGTTCCAATTACAATAGTGTATTATACTCAAATTTGATTAGATCCTAATTGCTCCCGTGGATTTGGTTTTTGCATTGCTGAATGTCTAACCTAGGGCCATTCATTCAAATTCTGGGCAAAGCTACCACTAACCTGCACCTCCAGTCTGAAATCTTATTTTAAACAAACTTTTGTGTTTATGGTTATACAAAAATTATGACTCCTGTCTAACAGAATAAAGTTTTGGCTGATATTTATGATGTTTACAATTATGGCTATATCCCATATCGTTTAATTTTTAAATTTTCTATCTTCCATTGAAACAAAATGACACTTAGAGTTTGCTTTCAAGTATTCAGGAAAAATCATTTATACAAAAAACTTGAGGCATAAATTATAAATTTTCTGAAATGTTAATTTCTCCAGTAATTTCTTCAGTCTTAGTCTAGAATAAAATCTAACTTTTATAAGACTGTGACAGTCAAAATAAAATTGAAGAAATTCTACTTGCTCTGATGTTTAGTTTGTGAACCTATACCTTTAATGGCCAAGTCAACTCTTAGCCTGAATTCTGCATGTTATAAACCTATACATTTCTCCTAACTTCTGAAAAAGGTTGCACTCTAGGAGAAAATTGGCATTTACTAAGTATAGAAAGATATATATATCTATTTATACATAAACATATGTTTTCATATATGTGAGTAAAATATTTGGTTAATGTTAGTGAATATTATATAGGACATATTTTCACAATAATGTCTAATATTAAATGAGAATTTTTATATTGGTTTTGTAAACAGAAAAGTAACTTAAACTGCTTATCCAAAATTAAGGTTATGTTTCAGTTTTGATTAGATGCTTTAGAATTTAACTGGGGCAAGGCAATAGTAAAAGTAGATAATTTATACTAATAAAGATAATAGGAATAATCTCTGGTAAAAAAAATAACACTATATCCCAAAATTTCACTAATTTATTAAATCTTTTCAGTTAATCAAATACAGTACTTTTAAGGTAAAGGAAGTATATTCAATGATGGCACTGGCTTCTTAGGAATGTTGTAAAGAAGCTTGCCTAATACTCAAAAATAATATGAAATTGAAAAAAATATGTAATGGAAGTTATCCTTCCTTTAGTATCTGTTGTTCGTAGCTAATAAGCTTGAAGCTGCTTTCTAATAGTAGAAAGATTTTATTTTCCCCTTATAATCCAGTGTTGGTGAGTGAATTCTCATGGTAAATGACACCCTTTCACAAAGAGGTTGTAGAGAAAAAGAAAAACCACATTTGGATTCAAATCCTCATCATGCTTCCCTTTGCCAATTTGGATTAGCCATCTCATTTTTCTTTTTTTTTTTATGGTACCGAGGACCAAACCTAGGGCTCATGCATGTAAGACAAGCACTCTATTAATTCAGCTATGTCCTCAGCCATCATTTCACTTTTCTGCAGTTTCAGTTTTCTCATCTATAAGCATTAAGATAGAGATGAGATCAACATGTCCTATTTATATTGCAAGGTTATAATAAGGACACAAAGGTATGATACATGTAAATTTTTGATATGCATATATAATTATGCAAATAGATGCTCCTTATTATTAATTACTAGTATTATTTACTGGTGCTGTGAAACACTCTCTGAAAGGTTAATTGACACCCAGTGGATTTGAATCCATGACCTTGTATTAATCATCTCATACTTAAATTAACTAGACTAACAGTACTTCTTTGGAAATCGTTATATTGAAAGGCTTTTTTTGTCATTATTTTAAAGAAGTGTTTCAAAAAATCTTAGAGACTGTCAACTTTCATTGCATAATGCTTTAGTAGAATTTCTCATTGTCCAGAGTGTTTAACACTTAAGAAAATTGTATAAAAGCCATTTACATGCAATTTGAAAATTTTAGTAAGATGTACATAATCTTACACTCCAAACGTCTACTGATACGTATTCTTTCTGTGGTATTTTCTTATGTGCTTTTAAATTTTGGCTGTTACTATTTCAGGGAGCTTCATCAGGAATTCCAGGGCCTCCTCCACCACCTCCACTGCCAGGTGCTGGACCATGCCCACCACCACCACCACCACCACCACCGCCGCCACTACCTGGAGTAGCTCCTCCTCCCCCACCACCTCCATTGCCTGGGATGTCTGGTATTCCACCCCCACCACCTCCTCTTTTGGGAGCACCTCCTGCACCACCACCTCTTGGTGGAATTGCTCCTCCTCCTCCAGGAGTAGCAATTGACCTACCATATGGAATGAAGCAGAAAAAGTTATACAGGCCAGAAGTGTCCATGAAGAGAATTAATTGGTCCAAGGTAATACCATAACTTGAGGATTTTTCTTTCATTTGTTCATGATTGACTATAATGTGAGATAAATGCATTGCTATGCATTACTTATTGAATGCTTTTTAAGGTAGTGACTGCTGACTATATTTCTTTCCTTTATGAGTTTACCGTCTTATGTCTATCTTTGTTTCTTTAATTCCTGTGTGAGTGTATGTGTGTATGTCTGTGTTCACAGGTGCCCTTGGTGGCTAGAAGAGAATGTCATAGTCCCTGGAACTAGATCCATAGGTGATTGTGGGTCACCTGATGTGGGTGCTGGGAATTGAACTCTGGTCCTCTGGTCCTATTATACATTGAGTCATCTATCCAGCCACTTATATCCTTCTTTGAATGTGTTACCTAGATAAGTGCTAATGTATCAGATAATTTGAAGTTATGATGAAGATAAAGGAAAAGTAAATTGAAAAATACGTGAAATTGTAATAACAAATAAAAATGATTTGTTACTTTTATCTTTGTAAATATTAAGCACTGTAGCTTTCTTAAAATCCTTTTTTGTTACTAAGCCTTATGTTTTAGTATATTTGTATTCTTAGGAAATGATTTTATTTTCATTTTAAACTTTTAAAAGCATGTAAAATGCAGCAACAATCAATAGTGATATAACCCAATATTTTTACAATTTGATGAATTAAAATGTTTCCTTCTGTTATTTTTTATTGAAATAATGTTTCTTTAAAATGTTACCTCAATGATGATCATGCTCCTCATTCACTGAGAATTTATTTCCCAGTGAAAATACATTATTGTATATCTAAGAGCATATTTGATGTGTTGTATATACTTGTGACAGCATTGCCCTGTAACCCTAGCCTGCCTGGACCTTGTTATGCTATATAGACCAGGCTGACCTCGATGTCACATAGATTCACCTGGATCTGCCTCCCAGATACTGGGATCAAAGGTGTGTGCCACCAACCCTGGCTCACTTAAAGTGATTTCTGACAGTGTCATTGTAGTATGTTGATTTGAACAGAATGGATAAATTGTTTTAAAGAGTGTTTACCAATGTGTTATTCACACGCATAAATTATGTATACATAATTTTAGAATGTGGTTACTTTTAAATATGCATAATCAGCCAAAATGTAGTAAACCAAAAACTGTGACTCCACGGATCCATTTATTTAGGATCATGATGCACTAAAAGTGCACAACTCTCACATTGAATTTCTGTGTAACTAAACTGCCCGGATCCAACTCACTAGCCATTTACTAGTATGGGCAGATGCTTATATTTTTCAGATATCAGTTTCTTTTCTTTTCTTTTTTTTTAATGTTGAGATAATTATAGACCTTGCATTAAAGGACTACTACGATGAATAGGTGGAGTGTGTGTGTGTGTGTGTGTGTGTGTGTGTGTGTATTCGTTTAAAAAGTATGTTGATTTATAATAGGAGATACATTTCAGCTATCTTTATGTCTGTTTTCTTCAATTTAATGAGTGAGCATGGAAAGTTCAATTTATTGAGCCTCAGGTTCCATATTTTCAAAAAACCCAGGAGCATCTAGAGATCATCATCATAAACAAATAAGCCAGACACAGAAATAGATTGCTGATGGTTTTCTCAATGTGGATTAAAATATATGTAAGACATGAAAGTAGAGGAGGGTCATTTGTGGGGAGGAAAAGGAACAGCGCATAAGAGCGTAAGGAGGGCTGGATACAAGCAGTGCACAAAATGTATATGAATTAATGTCTCATAGTGCAACCAAACATTTGATATGTTAAATAATTTTTGAGGAGGAATGAATTCAAGTTGAAGAGGGATATACTATACTATTTTGAGGGTATTTTCAGTAGATATTTTAAAATGTAATTTGCTCTATGACCTATTACTTTTGTGTACCTTTTCTGTATATGAACAGATTTGCAAGTGTTCTCCGGGATTATTTAAAAATTTAACTTAATTTATTTGAAAATTGATTAGTGGATACATGAACTGTATGAGTTTTTTGAAAATTGAACATGAAGTAATGCAGAAACTTACATTTGTTATTTTGTCTTAGATTGAACCTAGAGAATTATCTGAGAACTGTTTCTGGCTAAAAGTAAAAGAAGATAAGTTTGAGAATCCAGATCTTTTTGCAAAATTGGCCTTGACTTTTGCTTCTCAGAACAAAGGTACCTTCTTTTTTGTACAATATTAATTCCTGCATCTGGTGTATTAAATCTTTGCTCTACTAACAATTTCTAAGCAATTATATATATCTTGTGTGCTCCTACTAGGTAGGGTCAAGCATAAATAGATTAATGCTTTTGCTGTTTTATCCTTCACCAAAAAAAAAAAAAGGAAAAGGAAAACTCTTTTTTCTCTGTATTTTGTTTTGCATAAATTTTATCATTCACCTGAAAGTATAGATTTTATTTTTATTACTTAATAAATGTGTTGCACCTCAAAAACCTATTTTTTTTTGCTGAGTAACAGTGGATAGGAATTTCTTGATTTCCCATGTAATGAAAACATATTCATGGAATAGTAATATTTCAGAAGTGTGAATTCTATTGGAATAAGATTGCTGCCATAGGGCTTCATTTTCTTCCTTTTCTTTCCTTCTTCTTACATGTGTAATATTTATCAATCTTATTTCCCTGGAAGCCTAGTAGTTTTGTTATGAGCATATGTTTTTGATTCATATTTAAATCGGGTCTTCAATAAGTGTGACTATAGATTTGATAATAGCATATCTTCTTTATGATTATACCTAGTCATCTTATGCATTTCATATATACTATTTAGATGATTACTCACTCTTATAATAAATTATGGTGCTTTATTAATTTTTTGGTATTTTGTTTCAGCATATTTTTAATAGTTATTGCAGAAGGGATAGTTCAGTTAAGTATAGACATTGTTCTTTCCCAATCAGTCTTTACAAATAAGAATTGGCAATATTCTCTACTCTCCTTGGGATGAGTGCTTTTGCCATTCTTCTGATTTGTCACATTGTAAGTTTGGAAAAGTAGGATGGAGAGAGATCAAGGGTGTTGAGGCTATTCTGAGGAGTTTTAATATTTAGAAAAAATGCTGTTAGCTTTAATTTTTTTTCTTACTTGTCATAGTCCTCTTCACACTTAAAAGTTCAATAGTGACCAGATAGTACTATTTATTTTCCTTGCTTTTATTACAAATTGTTCATGCCTATAGTAGAGGATCCATAGAGTAGCTTTCCAAAAAAAAATGATATCTGATAGGAAGAACAGAGCTTACTATTCAATTTCAGAAACATTCATACTTGTGTAGAGAAAACCATTATTACCAATTTTGCACATTAAGTTCTCAACTTAGTCTAAGCATCTAGAAACATTTTAACCCATTTTCAGTTGCTATTCTTTGCTTTCTTCGGTAAATGTACTTTGAGATTAGTCTATATTTGTCAACTTTAGTTTTAGATACTGCATTGAATTCTGTGCTAAGTTCAACATTAATCCATTTAACCAATCCTCTATTAACACGTTCTTAGATTAGACCTTGGCATTTACTGCTACAAAAAAATGACATTGCACATAGATTTCTATATTTGCTTTTGTGTATGAGAGACTAGCTGTAACATAAATTCTAGAAGTGTAATTTCTGGGTAAAATATATCCCATTTAAACTTTTAAAAATATACCACATATCTACCTTCCAGTTCATATCAGTTTACACTGATAACAAAAAGGCATATCAATTCAATTTCAGCATTCCTATTCTAAGTCATAAATGTGATAGAATATGAAAGTTTGACCATAACTATTATGCCACAAGTAGAAAATTCGACACCTAAGCTCTTGAGACTGGTTGTTGTGAAAACACAGGCACAGCAACAGGAACGGGTAGACTGAGGAGAAAAGGGAAAGGTTGGGAATATGACAGGAGAATGATCAAAGTATATTATATACTTAATATCAAAACATCCTTGTGAGACTCAGTAATTTATGAAATAAATATATATGACAATTAAAAAAACACAGGCATAGTAAAAAGTGTTAAACTATCTTCAGGTTGTTTTCATGCATTATATATGGAGTACAAGTGAATTTCTTATTTAGACTTGGATTCTGTCCTCAAGACATCTCAATTTCTATTTGTAAATATTTCACAATCTGAAAACAAAATCTGAAAACATTTTAGATAATGGACATTCAATCTGTGTCTTTTCCTCTCTACTTTTTGTCCATATTATAGGTAAAAGTGGTAAATATTTAGTGTTACAATTTTTACTTTGATGAAGTGGTGAATAGAGAGCTCACTCTGAAACTTAGGCTAGCCTGTAATTCTCTGTGTAGCCGAAGTTGGCCTCAAACCCATGGCAGTCCCATTTGAGCCTCCAGAGTGGTCCAGTTATAGGCATGAGATTAGTAACTGGTAGAAGGGATTGTGGAGGTCTATTTGCCACACCCAATCTATATTTGTATGACAATTTTTAAAAAATCAAGCCATTACTATAGCTTTTAAACATGGTGTAGAATGCTGTATTCTGAAAAAGGCAGTAGAAAGAGTCACACCTCCTTATGTCCCTGTGGTAATATATGTAACTTCAGTGACTGCAATTTCTCAACTATGGAGTGGCTAGACTGTTTAAGCAGATGCTGTCTGAGGTTATAATGAGGTTTTATGCTTACACTACTCAACATGGTCAGTGCTTGGTACCTAGCAGACACTTAATATTATTCTGTTCTTCTCTTTCATTCATCTAATGCTGTGTTTGTGTGTGCTTTGTTTTAGTTAATGACAATTAATACAATTAATTAATTAGTTCAGAAAGAGAATTTCTTGTTTTTCTCTATCACACCCACTGGAGTTAATCACTTGCAATAGAAGCAATTCTTAATGCTGCTGCCAAAACCTAATCAAACCAGAAACACCCCCCCCAAAATAAATATTCAAATCATGTACTCACTCCTGTGAATGCTGCCTCTCTATTCTTCCCAAGTATAATTCTTCAAATTTCTATATGGCACTACTCCTATTCTGCTGATGTTGAATGTTTAAGTGCATATAAGGAATTGGGCATTTTTCAGTACCATTACTTTTAGTGGGGTTTATTTTTAAAGGGACATTTCAGGAATCAGTTAAATATCATAGAACATTGTGTACCTGAATATCACAGGCCAAATAAATTATAATGGCACAGTACAGGTATTTTTGAATAAGATGCCTAAGTATTGATTGTGTCCCTGTACTAGCTTAAGTGCTTTCATACTCACAGTGCCTTGAGACATAATTTGGTCAGTAGATGGCAGCCTCAGTAAGAAATCTGCAGGAGGCTCTGGCTCCAGCAAACTTGGCTCTTGTAGCTCTAGGACATCACTTTGTAACCCATTGTGCTGTTCAGTGCAGCTCTATGAGCACCATTCTGGAATGAACCAGCAACCCTTTGTTTCTAAGACCTATTTCTAAAGCCCTAAGGCTCGGTATTCCAAAACGTTTTTGAGAACTACCCCTACTGCAAGGCATCTGGAGAGCTCATCTCCGATCTCACTAAATGCTTTGTAAAGCTTTACGAGTCTTTGTTGTCAAGTAAATGTTTAAAACTTTAAAGTAGCTTAGAATTGCTAAATATAAAGCTTGTTGATATCTATAATATTTAAATGTGTAAATATTTCATAAGTGAAAGTATCATAAAATTATATTTCCTGTGTGCATTACGTATTCTTAGAGTTATAGAGAAATTATTTTTTAATGTTCTATTGATGAGGTTATCTCTCTTTTAGGGGAGAATGGATCTCTCATTTCATTTAGCTACTTTGTAAAGTATCTCCTCTGTACATGGCACTATGCTAAATTGTAGAGAAAAAACTCAGTAATGCCATCACTTAGTACCAGGGAACTCTTAAACTAATGAGTAAGGTAGAGAGAATACTGCATTTGGTCAAATTACAGTAAATCTTAATTTTTTTTTCAAAAGTTACGGCACACAGAACATAGATAATTTAGAATAGGGAACATGGAGAACCCAGAGGTGGTTTGACCTGTTCTTTGGCATTTCCGTGGGAAAGTAGGGGAGAAGGAAAAAAATCTTTCTGGGCTGAACGCTGAAATTTTAGTCAACTTAAACTTAACCATGTTTATTTAGCAAAGAACTGTTCCCAAATTGTGTAGCACCCAGAACCAGAAGAACATTACTCATCAGTATGAGCATTGAGCTTTTGTAAGCTAAGCAAGGAAATGAAAGCAGAGAAGTCAGGGGACTTACTGCTTAGGCATTTGCCCAATATGAGAAGTCTCTGAACACTTGTACGTCTATGATTGGCTAAAGCTTTCCTATTTGTGATTGGTGGCAACTAAGCTGTTTATTAGAAAATTTAAGTTAAAATTGATTTGGGTTTCTTAACTGGGAACTCGAAGTTTAAAGGAAAATCCAAGCTTATGGTCTCCTATTATCTTATCAAGGGGATGAGGAGAAACATTGTGTTGAAAGCACAGGCAGCATATTGGGTTTGGTGTGAGGAGCCTTTGTGAGAACTTCTATTATGCATTAGTATGACCAGAAACACTGGCCACACAGCTTGTCTCTGGATCTGAACATTTGCCCACATTAAGCGAAAATGTCATCATGTAGAAACAGAAAATGAATTGGTCAACAGCCCAGAATTAGAAATTCTTAATATTCCCAGCTTGCTTGTAGCAGTGTTGCATATAGAACATATAGGAAAGGTGAAACAAAAGCTATGAATTATATACAGCATTCTTTCCTGTAAGATGAGTCTTCTGGTGTCAGGGTTCCTGTAGGTGGCTTGTTTTCATCCCTCACATGCTATTTTCAGTGGGAATCTTAAATCCTGACTCCTATCCCATATTTCAAATACTTACTCATTGGATAATTAAGCCTAATACAGGTTTTTACTAGATAGATAAGTAATGAGAATTTACAGATTGAGTGATTCATCAATAAATGTGAATAATATTAGTAGCCTAGTCAAAATACAATGGTATTGTTGACAGGTATCAATTGGCAATTTTCATCTGGATGGTCTCTTCTAGGTTTTGGATCCTGTATTTTTTTATTATAATATTTATGTTCTTCATATAGGTCACTGTATTTCAACATAGTTTCTGGGGTAATTACACACACACACACACACACACACACACACACACAAGTGGGGGAGAGAGAAGGGCAGCTGCAAAAGACCTGTAT